TAATTGGTTATCCGAAAAATTGATTTTCCAAACAACCCCAGTCCCCAATTGATTTGGATAATCAATGCTCTACTGTAATTTGGTACTAGAAGTAGGTGCCATCTCTTATTAAATTTAATAATTATAATTAAATTAATATTTATTAAATAATTTAGAATATTCTGGAAGAAAAAAAAAACTTGGCACAGAGCGGGACTTTAATCCACAAATCCCACTTACAATGTGGATGTGTTGCCAGTTATGCTACCCAGATCTCCAACAAACTCTTTGTTTTGTTTCCAAATATTTAATTTTTGATATAATTGGAAAAAATAGACCAATTCATTATGGTAATCATATGGCTTTGGTTAATAACAAATTGAGCTTTGAGACACACAAAAAATATTTAAATTTCACATTTTTATATTTGTCCATAAATAACAATAGTATTGTTACGTGGAATCAGTAGGAAATGCAAAACAATTTAATAAAACTTCAAAAATTCAACAAAATCAGTAAAAATCATCAATATCTGTAAAAATTTTTAAAACTTGGTATTACTATTACATTGAGAAGGTTAGCTTATGTTGTTTTTCAAAGCATATCATCAAGTTTCTGTTGACTGAACAAAACTTGGCACCATATTTGAATAAAAATAAAATTCAAATTGCTTGTTAAGGAAGCCAAAAATAAGGATTTATTAGAATATTTTTGAGCAGCTTCAGCTAACTACATCAGGATGAAAACATTCCTAATAAACCCATATTTTTGGCTTCCTTAATGAGCAGTTTTAGTTTTATTTTAGTTTCTGTTGTATTGTATGTTGTGGAGTTTATTGCTAGTCTGTTATACTAAATAAGGTTAATCCAATGATAAGATGATGGACATTGCAGGAATAAATGAGTCAATAGTCTTGACATAATTATCTTTTGATAGGAAAAGATCAATCAATCTCTTTTATTATACAACTGCTTTTTATTTAGCAAGCATATTTTAACTATACATTCAAATTTTTAGCTCTACTCACTCACAGCATTTCAAATGACTTTTAAGTTTTAGATATTATTGGATGAGATTTTAACTCCAACATCACTTTATTTTTATCTGATATTAATATTTAATGACATTCCAATTTTAAGTTTGGGATTGTACTAGATTTATTTTATTTTTTTAGGTCACACTAATTGCTGATATAAGTAGTTAACAAGAAACATGACAGTAAAGACTAATATCTTCTACCACAGATAAAGTAAACTAATGCAAAAGTGTTTGTTATATAGTTCATATTCAGGCTAATTTCATTCAGTGCTGTATTGATTATAACATATAAAACAGAACTGAGGAAGATCCAGATGAAATAGTATAACTGCCATAAAGGATAATTTAAGAGAAATTGTAGTTTTGTAGCAAAAAAAAAAAAATAACTATTTCCTCCTAATAGTAACTAGCCTACAACTTTAAATGCCACACCATTGATATTATTCAGAGAATATCAAGCTTTGACTAAAGTAGACTAAGAGATGAAAAGCATTGAACATCAATGTTTCCAGCCTTTGAAAAGATTTGAAAAGATATAACAACAATGTATGATATTAAAATACAATGCTTGAAAATTTGATTATGTTCTGATTTCTAGCTAAATCAAATAAAACAATTTGTTACACTTAATACAACAAAACATTTCACATCCCAAAATTTTCCTATTTGATGATAAATAGAATAAATCTAAAAAACAATAAAGTGTCAATTATAGTTAAAGCTTGTAGAAGTAGTAATTAAATTAAAAAAAAAACAATTCAAAATTTCATCTTCACACTATCATTTGGATGAAGACCTTTCAACAATCCTTCCAAGACATTCCTTGTCGACCACTGTGGACCAGTAAAATTACAATTTCATCACATCTAGTTTTGGTTTTCCTCTTATTTTTTATCGGTTGGCTCCATTTGGTTAAGCTCTCTGTCCATCAATAATCATCTCTTCTCATTACCTAGCTTGCTCATCTCCATTTCTGAGATTTAGCATGAGCTATAGCATCTTTTATTTTAGTTTGTTGTCTTATCCAAGTATTGTGTTTTCTGTCTTTGGATAATTTCCAAGATGCATCTTTTTATTTTTCTGATTCTTAGATTGGTAATCATTTTCTCAAACAAAGACCAGTTTCTAATTCTTGATCTTTCAGAAAATTAGATTTGGTAGTTGGTGTATTATTAAATATTACTTTGAATTAAAAATTATAAAGCAAAAACTGCCAATGATTTTGCTTTCTCTGCTAGTGCTGAATCATTATATTGAGTTCAACTGTATTTGCTATTAAAAGAATATCATCTACATGTCTTAAATGTGGAAAGTTTTTGTTATGAATTTTAATTCTCTTTTGGCTCCAGTTTAATTTTTCACAAAAATTTCTTGTAACATAGAATTAAATAGCCTAATTTAGGGGAGAGTGAATAATCTTATCTAATGCCTGTTATATTTTTGTTTCCAAATTTTATACATGTGGTAGGATCATTATATATGTTTTTAATTAGTCTGATTTAGTTTTTAGTAATTGTTGGCTTTTCAAGGGCTGTAATTAATTCATTATGAAAAAGCTTTTGATACAATTACTAATCTACATAGACAGGGCTTAAAGGTTTAATAAATTCTTTGTACTTTTTGATTAATTGGCTAAGAGCAGGAATGGGCAACCTTTTTCTATGTAAGGGCCATATTTAAAACTTTTGAACTAATACAGGCTGCATACAAGAAAAAAAGAAAAAAAAGCAGGTAAATCACACTTATTTATTCATCATGTATATTATAAATTAACATAAGTATACTTGATTTAACTTCTGGAACTGATGTGAATGTAATATCAATATATCCAGAATATTTGGTTGATTAGTCACTGCTAGCTTTAAATTAGTTTTGATGTGAGTCTGTTAGCCAATGTTTTGTTTTAACTTTATTATGTAGTAAATGTTAAACTAAGTAAATGTTAAATTCATTTCAGAAAAAGCTGTTCACATACATAAGTTGTAGAAAATATGTTGTAAAAAATTTATCATTATTTCCTTAAGGTGGGAAATTCATATATTTTTTAAAATATTTTGTGCAGCATGGGCCACAAATTTCAGTATCAGTATCTGTACTCTTAGCCAGGGGTTGCCCACCCGAGTACAAATATGATCCAAGATACTGAAATATGATCTAAATTCTCCTTCATTAGCATCAGGATTTTGTGTTTATCTTGTATAGTAATGATTTTGGTGGGAAGTTTGTAAAATGTTGGTAATAGCATGACCTTATTAATTAATTAATCTTTGCTATTTTATTAAAATTTGCAAATAGAAAAATTTACCCATTTATCTTAAACCTTCTTAATCTCTGCATTTAAAAAAGGGAAAATACTAAGTAAATGAAATAATGCAGTTCTTAACTTAATTTTTAAAAAAGCAGGGAAAAGAAGATACAAAGATTAAAAAGCCATTAATACTTTCAAAATCAGAAAAATTTCTGACCAAAACCATTAAAGTTAAAAAATTAATAATAATTATAACAAAGCTATAAACTATTTTAGTAATCCATTCAAGAGAAATTACTTTGAATAAAATTTATTTATTGAAAACTAATTTTTTTTTAAATATTAAAACTTAACATAAATGTAATGTATTAAAATAAATTGATTTTATTATTATAAAATTTACATTGTTTCATCTTAGAGTTTTTATATACAAAATTAATTAATCATTTCCAAAAATAGATCAAGCAATTTGCTTCGGTACAATTCACTCACATAATTAAAATATTAAATACTATTTGATATTTTAATTTTTAGAATTATAACCTAGAACTTTTTAGTTATTAGGATTTATTTTAGAAATAAGTGACATATAAAATGTATACTTTATGATTCATAACAGTCATATCTTATTTTGAAATATATTCATTTTTTAAATTTTAATATGACCTAATTTTAATTAAAAAAAGATACAAATGTATTAACCATAAAATAAACTTACAAATAATAAATTAGAAAATTTGGTAAAATTGCCCCTATGGCGCAAAGGTCAGTTTTTAACAGGTATCGATCTACCGCCTATTCTACACGCTTCTTACGTAAACGTGCACCTCAGTGTGTGCAATAGCAAGCACCTCATCACCCGGGTAAAATTATATAACATCAAGTACTCCACGAACAGTCAAGCAGGCTACTCGAAGCGATCATACTCACGTGGGCTAAATAATTAAACGCACAGTCTCGGAAATATCTCCGTCGGGGCTACCTAGATGCACTTCTACCGAAAATTCAATTACCGACTTCTAAAATTATTCCTCGACACACACAGTGGTTTACCCAATATCATTCAAACGAGTACCGTTAAGATGATGATATTATTTTAATCTAACAGATAAGTTATCATATTTTATTTCTCATCCAAATATAAACACAAACAGTTAGTCATGTTTAAAAAATCTGATAAAATTCTTCATAATTCAAAATATATTTATAGAAGATATTAGACATGAGAATATATATTTTTATCATTCAATAACAGATAAATTAATTAATCAAATACATACAATATGGTGATACTTTTAATATTCTATATTATTAATTATATTTTTAAAAATGGCATGTGAAGAATTATCAAAACGAAATTTATCAATTGTTATAGAGATAAAACATGGTTTATTCTTCCTTTAAATCTATAAAACTTTGATTGCTGTTTTTTTCTGTGTTGTAGATAACAAAACAAGTGGTTATTTCAAATTGAGGTGAAACATTTAAATGCAATCAACGTTGATAAAATACATCAAACAATTCGAAGGAAATTGTGTAACTCTTATACAACAAGCATCTGCATTTACTACATTTGAATTAATTGATATTTAATTTGCATACCTTTAAACATTATAGAATTATTGCGTGTAAAAGCTAACACGATTAATATAAATAAACAGGAATTAGATAAAAAGTTTGCTTTTACCTTTAAATTGACGTATTAATGTTAAATTAATTACACGTGAACACATACCTCGTTACTTCACCATTAAATAGCACTCGAACGTACAACGTCAAAGTTGATTTCTCTTCTCTCAACAAACAGGTAAAAGCGCCACCTATAAAATGTCGATTCGTTCAGGTAGATGAACATAATGTAACACATTAAATATTTGATATTTATATACGTTAATCAAATTATAATTTATTAACATTTAATTAACATATTTCTATTTTTTTTATAAATAATTAATATATATTTTTGTATATTTTAAAATATTAGGGTATTTAACAATCAAGGTTATAAGTTAACCAATTATCATTCACTTTACTTTAATACGTCAACGCTTATTGGTTAACTTCTAACTTTAACTTTCGATTCTTGGTTGTAAATGCGGCCTTAAATGATATATTAAATTTCAATAAAATATCGTCGGTGGGAGTTAATATTATTGATAAGAGATGAAATGAAATACGAGAGTGATGATTTTGAAATTATATGCGGCGAAATACACAACAACAAAAAAATTGCATTGAATTAGGGTATAAAATATTTAATATGATTTCGGTTCAAGAATACATAAATTTGAGATTCGGAACTGGATTGAATGAGTGCATAACATACAGTATGATTGCAAAATACAGTAGATAAGCAATTTATAAATAAAAGGAAAAAATACATTTCCTTTTTTCAAGGTTTCTGCAGATCCTGGCATCCTGCGCTACTGAATGCGGATCAGATTCCAGTGTGTATATCACGCTGTGTAAAACAATAATAAAGAATATTTTATGAAAACTATTGTACTGTACAGTATATACAGTTAGATTTTTTATTACGTTTTTTGTCAAATATTGTATGAATAGTATTACAGTATATTGCAATAATTAGTTTTTTTTTATTTTTTTGTCTCTTTTAACCCTGTTGGCACTAAGCGGGCTTATTAGATCATATCCATTGTGAATTCGACCACAGCTCCCTAATAAGGTAAAAGCCCTACTTGTTTCTTCACAATTATGCTATGATAAGCTGTAAAAATTTCACTGTTGTATTAGATGTCACTCAAACTATATGAAATTTGTTCTGAGTTAAGTACGGAATTTTTTTCTTTTAGTTCTTTTCACCTTGCGGGCATTAAATTAAGATAGCCTTTTTTAACAGATCATTTATGGGTTCAAGCGGGCCCACCATGGGGCGGCCGGATAACGAGAGACAGAGCCCGACATATCCAGAATGGACCATCCCCCGAAAAATGGACCCTGAATCGAATCCGGGTCTTCTAGAATAGTAGACTTCAATTTTAACCGCTCAGGCATCCGGCTGTCGGTGCTATCCGGAGTAGTTCCAAACACAACCATGACACTAACGGGATCATTCCGAACGGTAAGCTGACATTTTATAAATGTATACTTCACACGAAGGATAGTTCAAACACGTTTTGGTTTTTATTTATGATCATACTTTTATAATTTCCATTTCGAAAAAAATAATTTTAAAATTGTTAATTTAAATTTCATTACTTTTGTTATAGAACAAACCTAACCTAACCGTTGCTACTAAGCGATGCATCCCCGAAGCATTATTCGATATCGCTCTCCTCTCCGCCAATGCTTCTCAATTAAAATATCTGCTGCAAAATGATAAGAAATTTTTATTCTATCCGATGATAGTTTTAATTTCGCTTTCCATAACATTTCAGGTAAAAATATAATTAATGATAGTTTTAATTTAATTTATCGTATTAAAAATTTTTTTTCTAATAAACAATTGAACAAAATGCTTTAATTTTTAATTCCAATAATGCATAAGTTTTTCCAAATTGTATAAAGTTTAATAGCAAATCAGTTCAGATGTTCTTAATAGATAAAATTCTTCCTTCCTGTAACATCAAGTAACTGTAAGTCGGAAATTGTCTTCAGATTACGAAATAGAATTTTTTAACAATTTATTTTTTAATTGTAATAAATTAAAGATAAACTGTAAAGAAATTGTTTTAAATAGATTGTTAAATTATAAATTAAAAACATTAAAATATTCCTCTTAAAACTGTCCTTTTACTAATGGCGAAGTGGATAAAAAAAACAATTATTTACTGTGACATCGTCACAATATCGAGCTGCAATTTTTAATTTATTCAATATAAAATATATGCTCTCCAGCTCGAATTAATAATGTCTTGCCCCTGTACGTACATCATATTTTCCTTTAACAATAGAGATTGCCGGTCATCTATATAACACCTTCCAGGGGAAAAGTTTTGATTTGAAATAACATAACTTTCGGCTTGTATCGTACGTTTATATACAGTTAATCGGGCCTTCTGTTCCTAAGGTTTACATATCCGGTTTCATCTTTCATCTATCTAATTCCCTTTTCGAGATTAAGAAAAGACAGACGGACGGACGGACGGACGGACGATTCAAAATTTTTTCTCTGAAAGGTGTTAATTAAATGATTGACACGACTCTATTGTTAAAACAAAAGTATGATGTACGGGGTCAAGCCACTACTAATTTGAGGTAGAGAGCATATACTTTAAATTAAATAAATTAAAATTGTAATTTAAAATTGCAGTCTAGCATTGTGATGATGTCACAATAAATACAGTATAGGCCTATATAACAGCCGGAAATTGATAGCGTGCAGAATTATCCCTGTATATCCATGAGTTAATTTAGCCATTTACCATCCGAAAAAAACACGAATCCACGTATATTAATCCTGTGTAAAATGACATTCTATTGGACTCTGTTTTAATAGCAGATTCACTAAATGGTGTTATCTCATTTTAACTAGTAAAAGATTAATTTTATTTTTCAGGTGGTGGCCAGCATCTTAATAATCATGTTGGGAACAAAATGTATGAAAGACGAGGAACAACAAAAATCGAAACAAAATCTCTTACCAGAAACAAGTCACAAAGTCGAGAAACATCAAAAATCAATAAACACGCTCAATAATGTATTGTGCGTGATCGTTTTAATTATCACTGTAATTAATGTCCTTATACCTACGATCGGAATAAAAAATGATTAATCATAAAAGGATAAATTTCTACCTGTTCTTTGTGGAAAAGTTAAATTTTTTTATTGTTTTTTTTATACAGTACGACAATCAAAACTGTAGAATGACATGTCAGAATACGTTCAAAAGTATTAAGATATACTGAACAAATTTCATCCATTGTATTATGACAGTTATGTGCTCTGTTTTCTCGTAAACAATTGGCACACTTTGGTGAGTTATGTTTGTTCTGGCAGTTTTATATAGATGATTCATTCTCATTACAATGACTACACACATTGTCTGTTGAGGTACAATTTTTTGCTATGTGACCAAAAGATAAGCATCGATAACATTGAGTAATAGGAAAAAATCAAATACTTGACACGTCGACCAAAGAAGGTGAATTTTCTCTGCTTTTACCAACTTCTCCCTAACCTGTGGAGATACCTCCATAATCCATGAAAAATAATTTTCATTCTTTTCTTTAAGCGGAAATCTAATAGTAGCATGTTCAGCAAAAGTGCGATCAGTAAAAGTTTCTAGAAAGTACATGTTTTGCTCTATAACTAAGGGTGCTAGGAACTTTTTCGCCAGCAAGACTGTCAGAAGTAGTTTTCCTTTGGTTATGTATGTACTGGAGATTGAATATCCATTAGAATTTCTTTAGATTCATCAAATTGAGCATCTTTAAAGCCTTGTAAATCCTTTTTAGTAAATAAGTATGAAAGTGTTCGTTCAATTAAATTATTATTCTTAAGGGTAGATTCTGTTAATTCTATAATTCTGGTGAGTTCTGTCAATATATATGTTAAATGACACTTTACCCCAAATCTAGCATTTCGATTTTTCAGGGAATATCTCTTAATCTCGTCGATAATACCATAAGCGGTGTCATGGAATATTTGTATCTCAGATTCCATACTGAAGAAAATAATAAATTTCTAACTTAAAATATTAATCTCGTCTAATATATTAATTTTATTAGCTTATAAATATGTACAACGTCTTCCACTACTCCAGACGAATCTAGAAATATATGATATGTCTAGGAAATTATTAATAGAAATAGAGAAAAATACAACTTCCGTAGAGGTCAATCCGATAATAATACAAAGTTGACCCCCCTATAATACTGTTGATAATTCCGTTTTATACGAATTCCATGTCGTACGAGTCACTTATATTTTACAAATACATGAGCCGTTCACAGCCCGGCACACATATTTGTAAAATTTAAGTGACTCGTACAACATGGAATTCATATAAAACGGAATTATCAAGAGTGTTATAAGAGGGTCAACTGGTGTACTATATTCAATATTAATTAAAAATGAATATAAATATATCGATTAATTAAATTTTTGTAGTTTACTGAATATGAATATGCATTGCAAATAACTTTTATTTTATATAAAGATATTCTATTCATTACAAGGAAGAAATTAGACTTTTAAACACAATTAAACTTTATTTTTTGATAAAATATCAATTACAATTATCTTTTAATTTTGAAAATTAATTATATATTTGCAAATACTCAAAATTTACACCGAAAACATTGTTTTAGAATCATTTATTATTTTTGTGTTGATTGCACAAATCCATTACTTTTTAGGTGTTGATTTCTACCCCAGACTCCTTCTAGAATCTCAATCACACCACGATGTCTACCATCATTAGAAAGTTTTGTATATTGAAGATTCGACCGAAAATGTCGGATTTCTTGTTTAGTCTACCAAATTGTCATGCATTTTGTTAAACACTAAATAATTAAGTGTACTTTGACAGTTACAAGAGCTGGCTGTACACTACATTCTATGACAGAATAATCAATGATTTTAATTCTAAGGTCGGAACTCTCGTTTGTTCTTATTAATGTAGGGTAACTAATGGACAACATTTATGAATGTATTTTAAAATTTTTATAAATTTTCTGCAATTATATAAACAGAATTTGTGAAAGTTTTTCGGTTCAATTCACGGAATTTCGTGATATTTTTAAGAGGATGTTACGGTATTGCATTAAATTTATACGGAACATTGCAAAAATTGATGAACTGTTACGGAGGAATTGCATGATTTGATGAACTGTTACAGAGACTTTGGAGGAATTGATGAACTGTTTTGGAGGCGTTGCAGGAATTGATGAACTGTTTTGGAGGCTTTGGAGGAATTGATGAACTGTTTTGGAGGCTTTGCAGGAATTGATGAACTGTTTTGGAGGCGTTGCAGGAATTGATGAACTGTTTTGGAGGCTTTGGAGGAATTGATGAACTGTTTTGGAGGCTTTGCAGGAATTGATGAACTGTTTTGGAGGCGTTGCAGGAATTGATGAACTGTTTTGGTGGCTTTGGAGGAATTGACGAACTGTTTTGGAGGCTTTGGAGGAATTGATGAACTGTTTTGGAGACTTTGCAGGAATTGATGAACTGTTACTGAGGAATTGCATGATTTGATGAACTGTTACGGAGACTTTGCAGGAATTGATGAACTGTTTTGGTGGCTTTGCAGAAATTGACGAACTGTTTTGGAGGCTTTGCAGGAATTGATGAACTGTTTTGGAGGCGTTGCAGGAATTGATGAACTGTTACGAAGGCATTGCAGGATTTGATGAAACTATTATGGAGATATTACTGGATTTGATAAAAATTTCTTACGGAGGCGTTACAGGAGGTCAGAAAACTTTTATTCAAGTACAGTAATACAGGATTCGGTAAAATTTTTTCGGAGACGTTGGAGAATTTGATGAAACGTTACAAGTTTTGATGATAGTTTTTCTAAGGCTGTGTAAGATTTGATGAAACTATTTATGGAGCATCACAGAATTTCATTAAATTTTTGCAGAGGCGTTAGAAAATTTCATGAAATGTTTATGCAGATATTACAGATTTGTCAAAATTTTTGCAGTTTCGAACAGGATTTGGTGAACTTTTTGCGGCAGAGTAACCGAAATTCACGAAACTTTACCTAAACGTTACAGGATTTGGTGAAGATTTTACGGTTTAACTAACAGGGTTTATTTATCTTTTACTATTGTGTTGACGAGATTTGATGCCTTCGGAGAAATTTTCTTGTAATAGGTGTGAGAAACGACGTTTTTAACTGTGGTTAAATGGTGTCCTTTCGTTACAAAATCGAGTGGTAGAATAACACTCAGCAGTTTCGGATGTTAGTACTGAAATTGTATCACGACCTTTTTGTAATAATACGATAAATAGTTCAAAACATTAAGTACCATATATTAGATTGAAATACGTTACGAATCTGTCTGGGAAGAAAGAAGCTGCTATGGGAACTTAATCACGACTGCAGCAAAATACATTCCACCAACGTCGAGATTTAGACTTTTTCTTCCCTTTTTTCTCCACCTCCTCTACTTTTACTTTGTTATCCACGACGACTAAACGTGTGGTGCTCAAAGTGTATTTATCGATTGTATCATTTGAGGAAGGAATAAGAATCTCTTGCTTTTGGGCAGAGATGAGAATTCTACTTATTGTTTGTTCAATCGTTTCATTTTGATTTTGTTCAGGAAACCGATAAATTGAAAACTTCATCAGGAACCTCGTCAACCGCCTCAACTTTTCTATAGGCGTCTCGTCCGGATTCTCTGTTTGGTGTAGAATGAAAACGTTGTCATTCGTCAGCTGTTCAGAGAACCAAGTTGTTTTCCATATCGAGAAATACATGCTGTCCATGCACGGTTTATCACATAATTCGCCTAAAAATGAAATGCATGGCCGAACATTTGGAAAGCGTTCGGTTTGCAGCGTGTTGTGCATATCCCACCAACGCGATAGGTCGTGCATTTTTGTCATTTCGGCGGAATTCAATTTATGGGAATCTGTGTCAAACATGTTATCTGCTGTAGGCGACAGCAAGCTTACACTCAAGCTTCGATCTAGCGGAGGGGTCATAGTGTCACCGCCTGATAAGACCACTGGAAGATCTGCAATCCTGCACTCTTCCTTTCCCACAGTATGGGCCGAATTGTCTATATCGCCTTCCATTGGGTGAACTTTTGTTCCACGGCATAATAGCCTCCAATTCTTAAAACTCTTCTTTCTATAGGAAAGACGAGAAACAATTTCTTTTATTTCAATGAATAAATATTAAATTGAATGATAATTTAAAAACAAAAATGTCATATTTCATAAATCAATATTTATCACACACATAATCAACGTTTGGTTAAAATTTATATAAGTTATATATGTGTATTCATGTTTAAGTGCTATTCCTCGAGCCTATCTGTAAACACAAAACTCTTCCCGATTGCTGCCTTTACTAGATGTTTTGTGATAGTTGTAGCTAAAAGGGAGCATCTACTGATAAATTTGTAGCGTGTGGAAACAGACTTTATGGTATTCTATTCGATGAATATCATAAAGAATTTATTGCCTATTTTATTATGAAAGAAAAAAGAAGCAATAAAAATTCGAAAATACTTATCGAAACACAAGTTTAGATAACTATTTTGATCAAGTCAATTATCAAGTTTCGGTTGTAAAATGAGTAATTGAATTTAAAGCATAAGAAATTTGTTTAAAAAGTTATCCAAATAATTTAAAACTATTAATAATTAGAGAGGCCAACGAATCCTTTATTTATAACATCAGAGACAAAGTGACGAAGGCGCAGGTATATACAATACTATGAAGACAAATGGTTTCGGATAAATCGAAACAGACAATCTCCATCGGATTTGCTTGGTTGAATTTAAGACAACTAATAACATGGTGATCTGCGGAATACTTTCTATGTAAAAGTGGTTCGTGTTAAATTTTAGAAAGTATAAAGAAACCAGAAGAATTTTGAAATGCCAAGCCGAAACCGTTGCTAACTAACTACTTGTATTTAGTGGTTTCATCCAATCTTCCACTGATGGAGATAGTCGCCATCGGAAGTCAAGACTTTTAAAACTAAAAATATTGTCATTTAAACTTACTTAAAAATGAAAGAAAACATTATTTTTTTAAAATCGCCAAACGAACAAGATAATCGCATTCGCTCGCAAGAAAGAACGAACCAACAATGGTTAAGTTTTATTGTTAGTTGGGAATTGTTGAAGAGATCGTTACGTCATTCGTCCTTAAAACATGCATAAACGGGAAGAAAAGAAGGCATTTTTGTGTATAAATCGCGATTTCTTTTACAATTAGCAATTATTATTTAAAAATGTAAAGTTTTAGTGCTTTCTTTTTATTTTATTGTCTTGAATGGTATTTTCTTCAAATGTAATGTTCATCTAACTTTTTCATTTGTAGAACAGGAGTGTTTAAATGAAATTGTTTTCACTCACACCGACACACGAAAAAGCTAATTTTAACAAAATAAATCCATAGATTTGAATAGCTTCTCAAGCTGAAATAAAGCTTATTGTTCTTCAATACAGTTGCAGTTTACTTTCTGTAAAAGTTACGTTGTTATCTTTATTTTGAAGGAAAGAGTAAAAATATTGCGAAATTCTTGAAGGGTCTATCTGGTGTTTATGAAACGTCATGAAAGAGGGAGTGGGACAAAACATTTTCGAATTTAGCACACATTGTTTACGGAACCTCTAAGATGAAAATTTAATATGTCCTTAAATTACGAAAGATTTCCATATATTTGCTCAATAAAATTCTTTAAAATATTAAGACAGAATTACTAGACAGTGTTTTATTTATATAGGCTATGAACACACAGGATATGACATACGAACCTCCGCTATATATTATCTACACTTTATATACACTCTTTGAAGTATATATAAGCATTGACAGATTCTCAGAAAGGAAAGGTTCAGTCATTATTTGTCTTCATTCATTAATTGCCTAAAGTAAGTTTTTAAAAAGTTAGATTTACCTATAAACCTGATTTAATACAGTACATCTGATTTGTAATTAAGTGGAATGGTAAAATTTTATTCAAAGCAATATCATATGTCGCTTTCTTCGAAATGATATAACAGCTTTAAATCATCTTTTCTCCGCAGCTCCCATAGGTTCACTAGATGATGGCAGTCCTTCATTTACAAGAACAACTGGACTTAGCTTCACTATATACTGTATATATATTTTTTTTTTTTTTTGAAGTGAGATGGGGAGGATCAGCAAACACGTTTATTACACTTCCATCATTCCATTCAAAATAAGTTCTTCTTGTAGTTCTATTTACTTTCACATTGATAGCATTCCAAAAGAGCACGTTGTAGGAATTCGTCTGACACGACAGCTACCACATTTAAGCCAATAGTTTTCAATTATAAAAAACAAAAAATTTTTAATATCTTCACCTTTTGTTGAAAATGCAGTTGCATGGTAAGCAATAACTTGTTTCCAATATGTTGAGAAGCCTCTGACGAGGAACACTAAATATGATTTGTTTTTACAGAAGTGTTTCCAATAGCTCAACAAAAGACTAATACTGTTTCTTTCTTTCTTTCTTTTTTCTCTAATATGGAAACTAATACTGTTTACTTTAAGTTTGTGCCTCCTGAACTTCTATTTCATCAAAAGATATTGCATAGATTTTTTCAACCGATTTCATCAGTGACACTTTTTGTTGTAAATAGGGCCACAAACAAGTTAAACGTTTAACCCCCGATAGTTGATTTTGATTGCTATTTCCAAATAGTATTGGGACAGCATCAGAGCTTAAATTTCTCTTCCCATCCACTCTATTATTTCGAAAATATAGAATTTAAAGTGTCTTTTGAATGCCTGTTGATGAGGGACAAACAAGTCCGAAACACAATTTTAAAGTGTATGTAGTCTAGTGAATTAAATAAAAAAAATATTATTTCTGATCTGTAAAACTAAATTTATGCATCAATAAATCCAGTATACAGTCGACCTCCCTATAATTACGGTCCCTATAATTACGATTCCTATAAAACTACGAAAAAATATACGTATTTTGGAAAAGTTCAGTCGGATTAGTGTAGAATCGATTAATTTTATGGAAGAAAACCTTTCAATCAGCCGTAGTCCGTAAACTTGACACGTGTCGGGCTGTGATTGNTAAGACAACTAATAACATGGTGATCTGCGGAATACACTCTATGTAAAAGTGGTTCGTGTTAAATTTTAGAAAGTATAAAGAAACCAGAAGAATTTTGAAATGCCAAGCCGAAACCGTTGCAAACTACTTGTATTTAGTGGTTTCATCCAATCTTCCACTGATGGAGATAGTCGCCATCGGAAGACAAGACTTTTAAAACTAAAAATATTGTCATTTAAACTTACTTAAAAATGAAAGAAAACATTCTTTTCTTAAAATCGCCAAACGAACAAGATAATCGCATTCGCTCGCAAGAAAGAACTAACCAACAATGGTTTAGTTTTATTGTTAGTTGAGAATTGTTGAAGAGATCGCTACGTCATTCGTCTTTAAAATATGCATAAACGGGAAGAAAAGAAGGCATTTTTGTGTATAAATCGCGATTTCTTTTACAATTAGCAAAAATTATTTAAAAATGTAAAGTTTTAGTGCTTTCTTTTTATTTTATTGGCTTGAATGGTATTTTCTTCAAATGTAATGTTCATCTAACTTTTTCATTTGTGGAACAGGAGTCTTTAAATGAAATTGTTTTCACTCACACCGACACACGAAAAAAGCTAATTTTAACAAAATAAATCCATAGATTTGAATAGCTTCTCAAGCTGAAATAAAGCTTATTGTTCTTCAATACAGTTGCAGTTTACTTTCTGTAAAAGTTACGTTGTTATCTTTATTTTGAAGGGAAGAGTAAAAAAAATCACGAAATTCTTGAAGGGTCTATCTGGTGTTTATGTATCGTCATGAAAGGGGGAGTGAGACAAAACATTTTCAAATTTAGCGCACATTGTTTACGGAACCTCTAAGATGAAAATTTAATATGTCCTTACATTACGAAAGATTTCCATATATTTGCCCAATGAAATACTTTAAAATATTAAGACAGAATTACTAGACAGTGGTTTATTTATATAGGCTATGAACACACAGGATATGACATAAGAACCTCCGCTATATATTATCTACACTATATATACACTCTTTGAAGTATATATAAGCATTGACAAATTCTCAGAAAGGAAAGGTTCAGTCATAATTGTCTTCATTCATCAATTGCCTATCATGTAAAGTAAGTTTTTAAAAAGTTAGATTTTCCTATAAACCTGATTTAATACGGTACATCTGATTTGTAAGCAAGTGGAATGGTAAAATTTTATTCAAGGCAATGTCATATGTCGCTTCCTTCGAAATGATATAACAGCTTTAAATCATCTTTTCTCTGCAGTTCCCATAGGTTCACTGTTCACTATATGTCCAAATTTTACTTCAGATGATGGCAGTCCTTCATTTACAAAAACAACTGGACTTAGCTTCACTATATACTGTATATATTTTTTTTTGAAGTGAGATGGGGAGGATCAGCAAACACTTTTATTACACTTCCATCAGCATTTCATTCAAAATAAGTTCTTCTTGTAGTTCTATTTACTTTCACATTGACAGCATTCCAAAAGGACACATTGCAGGAATTCATGTCTGACACAACGGCTACCACATTTAAGCCAATAGTTTTCAAGTGTTCAATTATACAAAACAAAAAATTTTTAATATCTTCACCTTTTGTTGAAAATGCAGTTGCATAGTAAGCAATAACTTGTTTCCAAGATGTTGAGAAGCCTCTGACGAGGAACACTAATACATGATTTGCTTTTACAGAAGTGCTTCCAATAGCCCAACAAAATACTTATACTGTTTACTGTAAGTTAGAGCCTGCTGAACTTCTATTTCATCAAAAGATATCGCATAGATTTTTTTCAACCGATTTCATCAGTGTCACTTTTTGTTGTAAATAGGGCCACAAACAAGTTAAACGTTTAACCCCTGATACAGTAGACCCCCTATAAAGCGAGTTCCTGTAACGGAGATTCCTATAACGCGGCTAAAAAATTGCGACAATATTCGTATAAAGACGCTAAAAGGGACGCATAAAACGCTGTAAAACGTCATCACGGACGAGCAGCCGAACTACTTTCCGCCGTCCAGCGCCACGCTACGGAGAGTTTAGGCAGGTAAATTGAGTTTATTATCATCTGTACAGTATTATATATAAATTAGGTACTGTACATGTAATTATATATTAATTATATATAAATTAGGTACTGTATATATAATTATATATTAACTTATTGTAACTTTGTTATAATTAAATATATAATTTCCGCCGTCTAGCGTGGCGCCACGCTACGGAGATTTTTACGCTAACTATCGTCTGTCAGTATGTAAATTAGGTACCGTAAGTCTAATACAGTACTGTAATTTTATACATTTCTTGTGAAAGAAACATTTCTTATTCAACGGCGATTAAAATTATTTATATTAATGATGTCTCCGAAGTTCTACGAAGTTTTCACAGAAAAATAAGTTGTTAGAAATCGGCCGCTCTTTGCTGAGCTGTTCCGCGACGAAAACAATGTTGAGCAATGGCAATGTCGAATGGTGACACTCGGTAAGTAATCCTACAATTTTTTGTTTATAGCGTAGTTTATACGGATTATTCCCAAAAAATATATACGTATTTTGGAAATGTTGAGTCGGATTAGTGTAGAATCGATTAATTTTATGGAAGAAAACCTTTCAATCAACCGTAGTCCGTAAACTTGACACGTGTCGGGCTGTGATTGGAACGACTTGTAAGAAATCGGATTCCTAATAAATTGAAACGTATCTATATCTTATAGGGGGTCGACTGTAATAAGTCCTGTTAATTAATAAAGTACTAGTATACGGGATAAATTTTAAATTAAGATAAAGGACTCAAAGGCATAATAATTAAAATGGCTACGAATTGAGGATAATGCATCCTCGATTGGTAGCCATATTGTTTACATATCACTAGCGCCACTACAAAATGCTGTGGCAGTCTTAGAAGATAATAAAACGAGCCATCATTTTTACGGTTAAAATGACTGAATTTTAGTTCTTTCGGTTATATTTGAAAAAAACCTAATACAATCGAAAAATGTGGAAATATTCGCGCGAATAAAGTATAACACAGACTAATATAAACA